TATATATATATATATATATATATATATATATATAATATATTATTATATAGAAAGCCTTTACTTCAGTTAGATATTTACTTGGGATATTTAACTACAACTATATGAGTAAACTTTCTAAACAAACTGATAAAATGCATATATTTTTAAATAATATTATTTATAAGTCTATGTCCTAATTCATAAGTTTAATACATTGTACATTCAATTAAAATAATTTCATATAAAGATAAAAAATATGTTAAAATTTGATAACAATCATCATAAATTGGTCACCCCATCTTATTCATAAACAAATATAATATTTATTTATTTATATTTTTTTAAATTGTTTTTTACATAGTAGTTTATCCTATTGATATATCTTTATTAGCCTCATGTACCATATATCAATCTTTGTCCTTATTAAATAGTTGTAAATATAGTAAATTCAATTTAAATTATTTTATATAAATGATCCTTATATCCTTTATATAAATGTATTGCAATTTAATAACTATCATCATAAATTGGTGACCCCATCTCATTCATAAATCAATATATTATTAATTGTTTTTTAATTGTTTTAATTGTTTATTACACTTTATTGAATATTGTATTATATTTCATTTATATCTGTTGACTAAAAAATCTTGTACTTTTATCCTATTAACCTCACGCACCAAGTATAATTATTATTAATATCGTCAATATGTATATTCTATATTCTCCTATGATAAGTAATTTTAAATTTAAAATCTACAAATATGAAAAACATATATTTTAAATATCAGATTGAAAATGAGCGAGAATACTAGAAAGAACTGCGAAAAGTTATTCCGTTATATTCAGTTATTCACTCGGCTTGAGCCCGATCCCTCTTGGCGGACGCCTCTGACGGCGAGCGCAACCGTGGGTTTGCTGCTGCTGTCGCAGCGCTTGTTGTTGTTGGCGTCGGCAACGTGTTGCGAGGCCGTCGCTGGCTCTGAGCCGCCGTGTCGGGAGGTTCCACTTGGCTGGCGCTGTGGCCAGCGCATCAGTCGCTCTCGGAGCGTTGTCGTGAACGGTCAAGCAGCGCGGCAAATCAAAGCCAGCAACGTGTGCCCAATCGTCGCCGTCTCCAGTGTTGGGAGACTAGCTCAAAACTCGAACACAAATTGCGAAACAGCAACAACAAAGAATTCAAAATACAAAATACGAAATTCGGAAAGAAAGAAAAACAAACACCCAAGTCAAAGTAAATGTCAATTCCAAAATTTTGCAATGCTTCAAAAAGCCGGCAAATAATATAATATTCAAATTATTTTGTTGTTTCTACAATAATTTTTTTTTAATTTTTTTTTTAATTGTGAGTGTGCTGCTCCTGTTCAAGTAATTCATTCAAGAATTTCAATATTTTTTTTGTTGTGAAAATAGTTTTGCTATATTTTCAACTCAATTTTCAAGTGCTCCGCAGTGAAGTTTTCGAAAAATACAAATTGTCTATCCGTATATAAGCAGGATTACAATTAACTCGATCTATATGTATATGACTGAGCTACAGCAAACCAAGAGACAGCAGCGGCAGCTAAGGGCAATCGAAACGCCAAGCCAAAAGCCAAAAGCCCAACAAAACCAAAAACCAAAACCGAAAACCGAAAACCAAAAACCGAAAAACCAAAACCAAAAAACCGAAAACCAAATTTGAGTTCAAGGCGAAATTAAGCATAGAAAGAAAGCGTCGCAGAATTTGCTAGCAAACATTGTTGTTGTTGTAGCTGTTGTTGTTGTTGTTGCTGTTGCTGCTGTTGCTGGCGGCTTTCGCCACTTTACGAGCAACTTCCTTTTTAGCCACGGGGCCAACGTGGAAAACCAGTCTTTTTTTATTTATTTTTTTTTTCGATTTTTTTAAACGCTTGTAGAGACCCAGACCCAGACCCAGACCCAGACCCAGACCTAGAGCGTTAACTGCTAGCCCGTTCAGGCCGTTCAGACCAATAAAAGAAACCCAAAGAGAAAGAAAGAACGGGCGAGAAGCGAGAGAAAGACAAAAGTGGTTTTGCATTTGACCAGAGCGTCACCAAAAACGTAAACAAAACGCGGCTGTGGAACGAGCTCTCCACAGTCCACAGTTCTGGCCAGGATAAACAGGCAGCCAAACAGGCGGAAGCGAATGATTTGCAAATCTGCAGCCATTTGCAGCCAAGGTGAAAGCTGACAAACAAACACACAGATGGAGTTAGATGCAGAGATAGAGGCAAAGTGAGAAAGAGAGAGAGAGAGAGAGAGAGGGAAAGAGAAAAGGGGGGAGAGAAACAAATCGCAAGCCCAATCGCCGCTAGAGAATGCGGCTTAGAATGCCTCTTGGCTTATGATAAATGAGACTGTAGGCCAGCGGGCCGTAAATCATCTTGGCAGCATCCATGACAATTTCACAAAGAATTATTCCACAAATGCGAAAGCTTTTCCACAATTTATGTATGTGCAACACGACCGCAACAGCAGCAGCAGCAACAGCAGCAGCAGCAAAGCTCGTCAAATTTCTTTAAAATTGTTATCCATTTTTATAAAGTTTACAGATTTGTTTTTTCTTCTTCTTATTCTTTCTTCTCTTTTTGTTAACCGTTGTTTCACAAGTTGAAAATCAGGTAGAGCTTGTAGTCGTCGGGCTCCAGAACTTGCCAGTGCCAACTCTTTCAGCTGTCAGTTTATCATATTTTTATGTACATATGTCTGCATGTGTGTGTGTGTGAGTGTGTGTGTGTGTGAGTGTACATATGCAGATGTCGTCTCTCCACTCAACTCGACGCGGTTAGAAAGCCAATAAACAAGTTTCGTAGACTGTGCAACTAATTTTCTAATTTGACGTCGTCGACAACGTCGACGAAGACGACGACGACTTCGTTGCCGTTGATCGTTAAGCGTGGCAAATAAAATCTTAAAAAAATCCACTCTAATCTCTCTTTGGCTTTGGTTGCAACTGATCTGAAGCGCAGCCCGAGCCACCTACACGCTGTCCCGCCCCCCAAATGCAGTGGAAAGAAAAGAACCTAAAGGAAGCTTCGCCATGCACACACACACACATGTAAATGACTCTCTGCGTACGTGTGTGTGTGTGTGTGTGTGTGTGTAGGTGGGGCTGGGCAGCAGTTGGGATCGAGTATATTCCGCGTGTGATTAATTGATGTGGCTCGAAGTTAGCCTTTAGCCGGTTAACTGCGTCGTCATCTCAGCCAAGTCACAGATAGATAGAAAAAAGAGACAGAGAGTGAGTGAGAGAGAGAGAGAGTGTGAGGAGCAATGCAAATGCTAGAAGTGTGGGGCAGCAACTAGTACGTATGTACATACATATGAGCGATCAACTAGCTAATTACGATAATGTTCATCACGATAATGATAATGATAATGATGTTTTCTGCCTGTGTGTGTGTGTGTGAGCTATGCTATGAAATGAAACGAACAAGCGCGCAAAGCAAAGGCCTCAAGACACAGGCAACGGCGCAGGCAGACCAAAAGAAAGGTGAAAAGAGGCAAAGAGACGACAGGTTGGTAGCCGTATACATAGATGAGTATTATGATGACGATGACTCTCTCGCTCTTGCTCACACCGTCTCTCGCTCTCTCTTACTCTGACTGTCTCTGCCTGAGCGTGCTCTCACTCTATCTCTGTCTATTTACATACATACATATTTATGTATGATACCTGTTTGTCCACATACAAACACACACGCACACATGCACGCCTTTGAGCGGTGTATAGAATAACTAAGCAGCGACTGCGACGCTGTCGACCCGATTTCAAACAACAACAACAACAACAACAACAAGAAAAGAATGTGGCTTACAAAAGCAACGTCAAAAGTTGATCATAAGAATCACAGACGAAATGTATGCGCCTACAAATTGTATATATGTATGTGTGTGTGTGTGTGTGTGTGTGTATTACACAAATTTATAAATAACAAATAGCATAAGAAAGGAATTATGATAAACGAAATGTACAAGATGCAAGAAGATGTTGGTAGAAAGCAAAGCAACGAAAAGCAATAACAATCACAACAAAAACACACAGAACAACGAAACGCGGCGGATTTGTTTTTGTTTGTTTTTTTTTTTTTTTTTTTTTTTTTTTTTTTTTTGCGCAGCAATCGAAACAGGTTCTGTATCGACGAAAGCACACACATACAGACATGGCTATCTACATACTATATCTGAAGAAATTTTGAAACAAGCTTCACGCACACACACACACAAAGAGAGAGAGAGAGAGAGGGAGATGTGTGTGTGTTCATGCATATTTTGTTTAAATTTAGCATAAGTTTGTTGCCGGCAGAGCCACACCTGTGCTGCCCGTGTTTTCCAACACTGTTCTCGAATCAGCAGCAACAACAACAAAGCAGAGGAAAATAAAAATGCAAAGAAACAAAACAACAAAAACAAAAGACTTCAACGTCAGGCAACATACTTACTTACGTGTCGCTTGCGCCGGCTGCGACGTCGACTGCGACGCCGTGGCCGATGCCGATGCCGATGCTGATGCTGATGCTGATGCCGCCGCGCACAATCAGAGTTGGCAAGACGCGACGCCGCGTCGCTGCCGCCTCAGTTGCTTTTCAAAGGCGCGCCGTCGCAGTCGCACTCTATTGAGTAGCAACAACAACAACAACAACAGTAACAGCACGCGGTCGCTCTCGGCTCTCTCGCGCTCTTGCTCTTGCTCTCTCTCCCCATCTTCGCCACTCACTCAGAGCGAATCGCGCGCGCAAGTTTCAATTTTCGTTTCGCGCTGTTTTCATTTTTATTTTAATTTTTTTTTTACCGTACCAAACGTTTGTTCTTTCAGCAATTGTGCGTTGTCTTTCGTCAAATTGTGTGTGTGTGAGTTTGTATGTGCGAGAGATTTCTCAAAAGTTTTTTTTTCAGTTTTTGGTTTTGGTTAATTTTAATTGTTCATGTACATGTGCGCATGCACGTGTGTGTGTGTGTGTGTGTGCGCGCATGTATTTGGCTTGCGCCGTTTGCCTACCTGTTGCCGCAGTCGCTGCCGCTGCCGCTGCCTCTGCCTCTGCCTGCGCTCCTAATCCTATTCCAACATTGACCCGAACTACAGCACTGACCTGTCCTGGCCCGCGACTCGTTGCGGCAGGCCGTCAATTTGAATGCAACAGCTACAGGACACTCGCTCTCCCTCTCCCTCTCCCTCGCCCTCGCTTGCGCCCTCGCTCGTTTGCGCCGGCGCAACTAGAACACGGATTACACGGAGCGGAGAAGCTGCCGCCGCATCTGCTGCGCTCGAATTCAGACAGGTAAGCGAAAATCAAAAATCCCATTTTGTCGTCTCTGCGTTTTTGCAATTTCCGTTGCTCAAATTGAATACGCAACGCGCACAAAGGACTCTGCTCCCACCTACCCCACCCTAAATAGATGCTGTAAGCGCAAGCAAGCTAACGGCAAATCCTTTTAAGTCGCCCAATTGCCGTTAAACGACAAAAATATTGCAAAGGATTTACATGCGAGCGCATGTGTCTGCTGCCAGAGCACTTTGCCCAATTTGCACAATTCCTGGCCGTCGTCATCCTCCGAAACTAACGCCTTCGACTCAGCTAGAACTGCCCTCCCTCCCCCCTCCTCCCATGCCAAACCATTTGCCATTTGCCGTTCACTTTACCGGTCGAGCGGCTGGCTATAAAGCGCTCAAGCCGAATGCCCGCCCACAGCTGCCGCACAGAAGATGCCGCGCACTTCGTCAATTACTACAACAACAGCAACAGCAAGGAGAAGAATCAAGCAAAAATTGCAACTTTTTAATTCCACTTGAAAGTTTCCATTTTATTGTTATTGATTTGCCTGATGAGCAGCGACGAATCTCAACCGTTTTTTTAATGCTTGGATCTAGCCTCAGCCTTAGGGCCGTCCACTGTCTCTCCTGTTACAGTTCCTGTCTAAAGCACTCTCGGTTCCACTTAGTCAATCAAATATCTATCTGTATACAACACTCGGTTTTACCTATGTATATTGGGCAATATTTGAGGTCTCGGATCTGGGGAGCAGAGCTTTTCCACTTGCCTTACAATATTTACTTTGAAATTGGAGTCGCAAGGAAATTAGCTGAAATACCTTCTCCACTCTCATCCATTGCCCTAAAGAATTGTGCACCTTCGGTCTAGGGTTTATGGCCATGTAGGGAACTGGGTTCAAATCCATTCCAACTGTATTTACCCAGCGCGCGTACAGCATTGGAAAGTCGTACAAATTGAGCATTGTTGTATATGTACATATGTATATATATGTGTGTGTGTGTGCTTACTTTGCTCTTTTTTGTGTGTGTGTGTGTGTTTTATTTTTGTATTTTCTCATCTCCTCTTCTCTTGCGTCTCTTTTGTTTTTGTGTC